TCCGAGCAAAATAAAGTCTTAAATGTCAAGCCTCGGCCGGTCGATGACAATCGACGTTGCCCATCCGGGAAGTTTTATTCGACTTGGTCGCAGCGCAGGCATTCGTCCCGCGATGACGCGATCAACACCGGGGAAAGACCGTCGGGCGAATTCAACGACCGACGATGCCTCAATTATTATCAGCCGCGGGCGCACTCGCCTCGCCGTGCTGTTTTCTTTGAGCGTTCCACCGGCGGGAATAAAACGCGCGATATTTCGCAAGGGCATATTTATATCCGCCCACACGAGGCGCGTGGCGGCCGAGAGGAGGTGGTAGCCTCTGCGGGAGGAAAGATCCGATCGAAGAAACTCGCGTGAATCGCGATTTGCGAAAGAAAGCCGCCGCCGCGGCGGTCTCTCGACTCGCGCCGCGCGATATCTTACGTGCGATAGAGTACGTCACGAAGAAAGGGGCTGCGTACAACCACCCCTTTCAGCCCCGAAATAAGCGCCGCCCTCGCCAGTCAAAGAGGAAATCCCCACTATACTTGGAACATGGTGGAGGTACCGGAGAGAGACCCCCGATGCGTCCCGTGGCGACCAGCGATTAAGTCGTGGGCCACCGTAGACCGTCGTCCGTGTTTCGTAGCCCCGCTAGAAAAGCGGGACCGCGAGCGAGCCGCGTCCTCATTTTCACGACGGACAATTAGAGAGAGAGAGAGAGAGAAACGCGGGACGTGTCATCGGTCTCTCGCCGCTCGATCAATTACACAGCCGGAAACATCGTCGATACTCCGCGCCGCGTCTCGCGCGCGCGTCGCACCTGTGAGACGACAATTCGTCCTGAAACGTACCGTTCGTCCGTGTGTTGGTCCTTCGAGCCGTAAGCGGTGAAATTAATCACCCGCAGAGATCACAAAGTGCGTCGAGAACGCAAATCGCGTGGAATGTAAGAGCACAGGCACGGGGACGTGACGATTATGTGACGATGAAGCGTCGTCCTGATCCTGCGAAGCAGACGTTCCTTCGAGAGTGACCCACAGCTGCTGATGAACCTCTCCGCTATGGAATTCTCATGGGCGCTTCAGCATCAGAGCAACGATCAGGTCGGGCGAAGTCATGCGAGCGATCACCACGAAGACGTCGGCATCATCAATCAGGCGAACACCCGCCGATTGCTCGGGGTGACAGGTAATCGAGCATCCGCGCGTGATTCGCGGCTAGAAAGGGGTAGTTTCCTCCCCCTGGTCTCGCGAGTCCCTCAAACATCGTTCATCGTGGGACGTTTCGTACGTTTCGGAAATTAATCGGGCGAGCAGGAAACGAATTTTCAGGTTCAGGTTCGGCGAATCTTTCCCAAACGAGGAGACGGCACCTCTCGACTGGCTAGTGTTGATCGTCAACGTTGATTTGAAGCGAAGCAAGAAAAAACTGCAAAATCTACATTGATGAAGAATTTGTAAGTTGCATCGGCGATGATCGAGCGACCGGTCTTGGCGAAAGAACGGAAAAACATGGATTCTTTTTATAAACAGTGGAAAGGATGTGTGTGTGCGTGTGTGTGTGTGTGTGTGTGTGTGTGTGTGTGTGTGTGTGTGTGTGTGTGCGTGTATGAGTATGAGCAGTTCTCCATTTACCACCGACGGATACATTCCCGATCAAGAAATATATTAACGATATGGCCGGCGATATTATAAGTGCGTCAATATGCTAATGTATTTATATATATTTTTCCTCGTCTCGGGAATTGATTTCCGAGTAGTCTTCAGGGATAAACGTTCTCTCCGCCGAATGCTGAGAGATCAATTCGCACGCATTTGGGAAGGAAAGTCCTTCGTCTCAGCCGTTTCTATAATAGGAATTCTCCTCGGGCTGTGTGAAGTCTGAAATGCTTCGAGACGAGCGAATCTCATCACGGAAAATCTGCTCTCATCAAGACCTGTCGGTCTGTCCCGTCGAGGAGTCATGATCATCGAGCATCGTCCTCGTCCTCACAGGGTCACATGAGCGAAGAGTATCAATACACGCTGGCGACCACACGCAGCGGTTAACACCTGTCCGCAACTTGTCCGAACCCCCTCGTGTAATCGCCTCCTAATAGCCGTGAAAACGAAAAGAGAAGGAAACAAAGAGAGGAAACGCCGCATTCTGCTAATCGTCTGGGGGCCACGATCGGAACTGTCGGATTCGCGCTGCTGGCAGCTGCCGCATTCGACCGTGCGATTAACGGGGGTCAAATCGACGGCCGAGGTCGATTAACTTGCCCTCTCTGCACCCTCGCATCTCTCCCGCGCCCCCTCTCCCCCCCCCCCCCCGTTCGAACGCCTCGGGCGCGATACGATCGGCGACAGCGCGATGTATTCGAGTCGTCGTATGCGTAACTCGCGGATATCACGTCGATATTATTTTTCTACGGACACGCGAGGATATTATGGCGGCGGATCCGGATGTTTAGCGCGCCTTCAGCCTCGCTCGCGCGTTTTATCGCATAAAACGAAAGCGAATTAATTTTCATAGACGCGCGCGCGCGCTACCATCCGCACTCCCGCCGTCGCCGCCGTGTTGCATTTCTATTTGCCTCGCCGGAGAAAGTCGCGGTCTAGTCCGTCGCGAGAGAGCCCGTCGTTGTACGCGGCTGTTCTTTTCTCCCTCTCTCTCTCTCTCTCTCTCTCTCTCTCTTTTTCTCTCTCCCCCCCCCCCTTTTCCCTGCCAGCTATTCTTGAGAATCATCGAAATTCGTGGGGTGCGGGCCGACCGCTTCGTCTAATTAACCACCGGACGCACCGTCGTGCATCGACCGAAACAACCGATAATTCCCATGCTCGTACGCGCAAAAAAGGGACGCGTATGATCGCGCTCGGTGAAAGTTCCTCGCGTCGGGCCGCGCGCGTCCTTGCGAGCCCCGCGAATCGATTGTCATTCGCGAGTCGTCCGGTATAATACGGTCCCGCGTCTTGAATCCTTATATATTGTGTATCGAAAAACTCTCGACCCCCCGGGCCCGGGCGCGAGAGAGAGAGAGAGAGAGAGAGAGAGAGAGAGAGAGAGAGAGAGAGAGAGAGAGAGAGAGAGAGAGAGAGAGTCACGGGATGTGATATTGATTATTCTAATCTGCGGTAATATTGATACCGCGAAGCTCTCTCGATAATTTATAACCGCGCGCATGGGCGCATATCTGGCGTAATGATATTCAGATTTAAACCGCCTCCCGTGCTCACGGAGGCGGTGTTTGGTCGATACCTTGATGAAGGGTTGGCTGGCAACGACTCATCCACCAACGTCCTAGAGCTCACCCCTCGATTTCTTTCCGCGGACTCCGAACGCCATGCACATCCTGCGTCCTCCTCCACGGCGTCATTCGCCCGCCCGTTGAAAAAATGTCCGTTTTTATCAGGCCCGAGGCACGTTCTTATCGGGGCGAATGCAACGTGACAAAGTCCGCTGGACAGAATTTTCGTGCCGCTGCCGCCAACCGGAGCTCTGTCGAGTGATGATCTCGTATCTGCTCGATCTCGGCGAAATGTGATAATCGAGGAGAGAATAATTCTCTCGTCGTAAAGCTCCTTCGACTTTCGCCACCGACGACGAATTAAATCGCACAGCTGCGTGCGCGTGTCGGTTAACACGTGAGCAAATTTCATCGAGGCGACACGACGACCTTAAGATCTCGTTATTCACTTGGAAAGCGCCCTTATTCTTAACTCCCAGCGCTCTCGAATGTCTATGAACGTCTGAGCGGAAATAACGTATTACAACGATTTAGCCTGTCTTAGATGCTCGGACATGCACAGGGTAAACGCAGTCGCGCTTCTACGTTTCCGAGCTGGAATCAGGATCGCCGATGAAAAAGACGCGATCGCCGTGTGCGGCGCGGAGCTAACGCTAAACGTCGTCACGATGCCTCACTTACGCGCGTTACAATGTTAACGAATGAGGACACCCGAAGACTCTGTTCACACACACAGCAGGCGTTGAGCGTCAGATGTCCGTATCCGCTCACGATGAAGACTTTCGCCTGACGTATGCTTGCGGCGTCCGCAGTCTAAAGGGTTAAGGACGACCGCGATCGCGGCCACGCACAGAGAAAAATATTCTGCTACTAAGAAAAGCGATTTTTCCCCTCCTTCGAAATAACAATCATCTATGAAAAATATTTTCTTGAAAGCTATCTTGAGATTACAAATTTCAGGGAAGCTCATTATCATGTACTCGAGAGGAAGGATTTATCCTCTTGTCAAGAATGTTATAAAAATTATATTCTACCGAGTTTCTCTTTCAATTTAATATCCTTGATTGAGACGTTAAACTTGCTAAGATTCAGAATGTATTTTGAATGAATAAATGTGTGATGCTTATGATGAGTTTGCCAATACATAAACTTATGAGATGTTTGAAATAAAAAGTTTCCGCTTGATTGCAGTCTGCATCTTTTGTGTCGGCAGTGCTCTCGAAAATCGCGAGCGATTTTTCCCGCTGACAATAATCGCGAAATCCGCAGAATTTTGGCATCCGCCGCGTTCTCGGAGGGGCCCCTCGCGGTTCGTTCGCGCGCGACCGTTTTCTCTCGCTCGTTGACACTCTGTTCATTCGACTGCGTCGTTCTCGAGCCGCGATCATCCGTGAAATTCGCCCGTGTTCATTCAATAAATCGGCTTTCTCCGTCGTCGTCGCCGTCGTCGTCGCGAACGTCGGAGCAACGGCGACTCGCTCAACGTTAACGATGTTACCGCTCGTAATCTTTCTCACATTGTAATGTTTTTCCCGCGCACCGGCTCCTCTTGCGTCTCATGACGCAACAAGCACCGGCGACGAACGCCTGCCGCGGCGCTGTGCGAAGTACGCGTCACGGCAACGATTCATCGCGATATTTTTTAATTACGCATTATCTTATTAGAATGGGAAGTATAGTAGATACCGCCCGATTGCCGTCGGAAACAACGACGCCATGGTACTCACGTCCCGCCGACGAGGATGAACTTCCGCCACCTTATAACGCGAAGCCTCCGTTCTTTCTTTTTCAGGCCGCGGCGATTTTGTCGGAGGGATAGACAACGAAGCCCTAGATTTCTCGCAGCTGGAGGATTTTATCAACAGCGACAGCGAACAGCCTGCGACGTGAGTCTGCGGAAAATATGAATTTCAGATCGATTAGACCGAGGTGTCAGGTTGGTGCAAAAGATCTGTCACTTTTCCGTTCGATTCTCGCAATGTAGGGTGTCAAATAGAAAATATTATTTATTTTATTTGTCATGATTATCGATCTCCGAAATTGAATTTTCATCCGACAAAGCTTTCGCATCAACTTGATAGTTCCAAGTCACACACGTGCGTATTTCCGTATCGCAGTTACTTCTTCTCTGAGATAAACGCCCGTCGATATTCATTCGCTCGACTTTAAATCGTCAAAATCATTTTCAGATCGACATCATTTTTTCTTTTTTTTTTTTATTCAACGTCATTGACATCTGTTCGCTCTTCGTCACTCTTCGCGCCGCGGGCTGGCTCGAAAAGCGTTTTCGTGTGCGCGAACGAAAATCCCGAATATCCGATACTTTAGAAAACGAACGTTCAACTTGCGGCCGATCGCACGGGAAACTCGATCCCCGTCGGCGAGCATCGCGGAGCGATTCGGTCTGGCGGCGACGGGATTCAGCCGCGTTGGGAAGCCATCGTTAACGCCTACATTACGCGCGTATTCGTTACACGTGCGTAATTGCGTATCGCCGTGCACGATGATCTCCAATTCTTTTCGTCTGGGAGACAAATGCTGCCCGCGTCGCGCGAACGAGATGATTTTCCGCGATCGCGTACGCGCTTCGTTTTCTCTCCCTCTCTCTCTTTCTCTCTCTCTGTTTCTCTGTCTATCCCGCCGTTCGTACATCATCAATTTTTCGTCTCATCTTATACATACGTATGTATCTGTATTCGGAGATATTTCCGCGAACGCGAAGGTCAATCATAATGACGACCGCAATGTTCCGCGAAATTTTGCAATCGCGAAAACGCGGAGCGCGCGACGGAACGCCGCGCGCGAGAAAACGCGCGAGCGAGCGATACTCGCCAGCAGATACGCACCCCTTTTCGAATTATGCTAATTAACGAATTCACGGATATAATACGCTTGCCATCCAGTGATAGCACGAGCACGCGTTTCCTGCGAACGACACGATGTATATCAGACTAAATTCCTAAATTGCTCCATCTCGACACGCCGCGCGGCGTATGCGTATGCTCTGGCCAGCTCCGTCAGCACACAGAAATGCTGCGCGCTGATTATCATCGGAATGGTCATTGTGTTTTGACAATGTTACTCGTTTCACTCGATCGGCCGCGACGACGCGACGCAACGCGGCGCGACGTTACGTCGCTCCGCAGTTAGCGACGATCGCGGTTTCGCGCGTCACATCGGGGCATGTCTGTCTCTCCGAGCGCGCGCTCCGAACCGAAAAGGCGCAGCCGAAAAAGGAAAGCTCAGAGATTTTTCTTATAATTATTGCTACATTCTCACGCGCGCGTTAACGCGCCCGTACATCGAGCTTTTACTGCGTGACATTAAATAGCGGATGTCAGTGTGAGACACAGTGGCCTTGACGGTCACCACACACACACACGCGCGCGCGCGCATACACATACAGAGATGAACAGGCAAATAGACGAACGTAGACAAGACTACGCGAGCGCGGGTTTTCAACCTTCCATTTAGCGTCGGGCACAAAAATATCTTATTCCAGACCTGACCGCGTTTACTGACGTAATCTCATACACCAGGAAACACATGTAGCGTACGCTATGTACGCACGCACGTGTACGCGCCTATACGTACACAGCTCGGAACGCAGACAGATATCGCGCAGATAGCGAGCGCAGAGGTGTAATGATATAATGACAGAGGCAGACGGTACGGAATTGATGGAATCACTGCATGCAGCAGCGCTAACCCTGGTAATCCGACTTCCAGCGCTCGCGCGTCCCCGCCCGAGAAATTACGGCGAAATTTGAGCTTTGACTCGATAAAAAGGAAGAAAAGATGTATTGGCTAGGAGGAAAATAAAACTTGCTTTTGGCTGTCCAGGATACTCCAGCGCGAAACGCTTTATTGCGTCGTTCTTCTTCGCACGCGCGCATCGATAATACCGGAATATTTTTAGATTAAAGTTCTCGGATATTCGATCATCGAGGATTCATTTAGGCCGATGAGATATAAGATTAACGAAGTGATGATTCCTTTGCGGGAAGATGGTAATGTCGCGCGTTGCATCGCGCGCGCTGAGATTTTTCTTCATTCCTTGGACGTACGTGCGGCAATTAGCCGCCATCCTTTCATCCCCCTAACCGACTCTATATCCTGTTAATATATACTTTTTTTTTTTTCCTTTTGTTTCACGTACTGCGTTCAAGGACTGCGGAAAAAATTCAGCGCGTGTGATATTTGCATCTCCCTCGTTGAAATTATTATTCTCCCGTAAAAAAAATTATTTCGCTATTCTTTCTCTTGCACGGTTTTTATTGGTCTAAATTAATTCTTAGTGATTGCATACTGAAATCGGTTCGTTTAAATTCAAATTTATTTATCTCGGCTCTCTTTCACGCTCGAATAAATTCACTTGCGTCATTTCGGCTTCTGGAAATTCTCTCTCTCTCTCTCTCTCTCTCTCTCTTTCTCTCTCTCTCTCTCCTCGACGTTATTACTCACGTTCGTGTCTTTCGTTCTTTTGTCATTTCTCACGTTACTCGCGACTCCGTGCCGAGGTGCACATTATCTGGATACGTGCATGTGCATGCATCGCGATCGTCGTGCAATAGATATGTTATTCCCACTCGGGAAGTCTGAAGAAACGCCGCTTACATAGATAAGCGGAGAAAATTCAAAGATTGGAGACGCAAAAGACAAGCGCGAAGCGGCGGCGGCGACGACGGAAGGACCCGTCGCTTGAATCCGCCAACGGTGGTGGGAGCAACTTTGTTCGCAAATGCTCCTTCAGTTCTGAAATTTCAGTTGCGTTGGTTGAAAAAGAGAGAAAAAAATACGAGATATCGCGCGCGCGCGAGCCGCACATCACGAATTATCCGCAGCGGCTGATACATGCGACGAAGATTAATAAAGAAAACAATACTCGCGACTGTAATTTATATTTAAAGGATCCGGTATTTCCATTCGGCTGACAGCATAATTACCCGACTTATGTAATGAAAAAAAGGAGAATAAGTGCTTGCTATTATTTAACATGGTTCGAAGATTGCGGATCGTTATCGAGTCCGAGCGTTTCCCATCACGCCGGTCTGCCCGGGAATTCGTAGAAAACCCCTCGTCGCCGTGTATAAATTGTCGCCTGCGGATCGTCTTCCTTGATTTAATGGAAACTGTGCATAATAGTGCCGCCTGCGTGCGTGTACACCGTAAAAGCCAACTCTCGCGATTCCTCGCGCTGGCTGGCTCGCGAGAAAACTCAGCTCGAAACATCGTTTTCCGCGTAACGCCGCCGACCGCGCGCCGTGTGATTCAGACGATAACGATATCTCGTGTTTTGCAAATCCAACCGCGCGACCGTGCACCACTCTCTCGAAAGATCAATAAAAAGGCGCTGACATAACGCGTATATTTGTGAGCTTCTCTATCTAATACATGTCCCACGTATGTTTCGTCAACAACTTGCACCGAGCGCGATACAGCTCGAACGAGATCTCCGATATACACCACTTGGCTAGCAAGAGAGACGAGATATCGACGAAACCGTCGATCTGTATCCTGTATAAGAAAAAATGAATAAACCGAAAAGAGAAGGACCACGTAGATCACGATCATAAATCCGTCCGTTTCAGATACTTCGCAGACACCCTCGCCCACAATGAGAACGAGGGTGGAGCGGCGGTTCACAACGGCCGGGTGGCCGAGCCACCAACGGCGCAGGCGGCACCTGTCACTCAGCAGCAGCCAGCACCAGCGCGACTACCGTCGCCGCAGATGACACAGGCTCACCCAGTCTCGATAACCTGCGCCTCCGGCACCACGACGGTACCTAACAATGGCTACAAGGACCCACAGTCATACGTTCACCCGTAAGTCGAAAGTCACGCGAAGCGAAGCGAGTCGCCTTGCAACGAGAAGCATCTAGAGCGTCGTGTTCCTTCCAGACACGCGCTACCAGAGAGTCCACCGGACAGCGGAAGCGAGCCGCCGTACTCACCGCCAGGCCACAATGACACTCAACATGTGCACTCGCCACGTGAGTGTTTCACCTCCTGACCTTCTCTCACCTTCGTGCGATGAAATTCGCACCTCGTGGAAATTCCTCGCGGCAATTATGTTCTCTTGTGCCAACAGATCAGAAGGCGGCTCTGCAAGAGATACTTCTACATCATCAGAACAATCAGTACGCTCCTAATTTATTACCACCTTCACCGAGAGCGTTGCCACCGACGACGGCGGATCCTCTGCTGCTGACGCCGGTGTTGACGCCTCACCTGACGCCGGGAACGCCAAATCTTCAGGCTCAACAGCAGATCGGACCGCCCTTGGTGTCGCTGCCGCACGAGCACAGTCCAGCCGGCATCAACACGCTGTATTCATCTCTGCAGTCGGCCTCTAAAAAAAGAAAACTCAGTCAAGATGGTCTTATTCATGTTAAGCAGGTGTTTTCGCGTTTCGCCCGTGACCGCGGTGGATCCTCCTCGGTCCGGCCTCCATTCTCATTTGCGACTTTGTTATCTCTCTCAAGGAACCTGAACTGGGCACCGTGGAGCACAGCTGCAGTAGCAGCAGCGCGGTGCTGGACAACGACGAGGTCGCCGACAGCAGCTACATCGACGCCAGTTACCAGTGCATTCGGTTCCACCCTTTTCAGCAGACCTCTTGGCACTCTCTCTGCGACCATAATCTCAAGGAACTACCGGTGCCGCATTACCGAGTAGATGCCGACAAAGGATTCAACTTCAGCAATTCGGACGACGCATTCGTTTGCCAGAAGAAGAATCATTTCCAGGTAAGTAAATGCGCTCTCTCTCTCTCTCTCTCTCTCTCTCTCTCTCGGTCATTTTCGAGCAATTTCTATGTCAAGGTTTCTATTTACAATATTATAGCAGGCGATAACCATTAATTTTTGCATTTTTCAGATAACGTGTCACGCGCAGCTTCAAGGAGAGGCTGTGTTCGTGAGAACCGGCGAAGGTCTAAAGAAGATCAGCGGTTTTCAGTTGCACTTTTACGGGGTCAAGGTGGAATCTCCGTCGCAAACGATCAGAGTCGAGCAGAGCCAAAGTGACAGAAGCAAGAAACCATTTCACCCAGTGACGTGAGTCTCATGTCAAGCACGACACACAAGTTATTGATGTAATAATGATACTCTTGGATCAAGCTCTAGGACAGATATCATTGCAGGGTCGAATTAGGCGGCGAGCGCGTTACAAAAGTGACGGTTGGCCGTCTGCACTTCAGCGAGACCACGAGCAACAATATGCGCAAGAAGGGGAAACCCAACCCGGATCAGAGATATTTTCATTTGGTCGTCGGATTGCATGCTCATACTGCAGACCAAGCCAGTTATCAAGTGGTGGCTCACGCATCGGAACGTATAATTGTCAGGGTATGTGAATCAATGGTGAAACAGTTGCTTGTGACCCGAGACTGCGACTCTCATCATGTTCGCGTTGGCATTTCGCACAGGCGAGTAATCCAGGGCAATTCGAATCGGAAGGCAGTGGCGTAGGTGCTGAAGGTGGATGGCAGAGAGGAGCAGCGCCTGACAGCGTTTATCATGCCGGTAGAGTCGGAGTTAACACGGACCGGCCGGACGAAGCTCTCGTTGTGCATGGCAACATGAAAGTAGGTTTTAAACTGAATCTGCTTTCTAATGATAGAGGGTACAAGTTACGATATTGTTCAATTGATCGCAGGTGACGGGTCACATCGTTCAGCCGAGCGATGCGAGGGCGAAGCAAAACGTCCAAGAAGTGGACACGCGCGAGCAATTGCGAAACGTGCAACAATTGCGTGTCGTGCGTTATCGATACGCGCCGGAATTTGCACAGCACTCAGGTTTGGATGTCAAACAGGAGGACACTGGCGTAATAGCGCAAGAGGTGCAGCAAATTTTGCCGGAAGCTGTTCTGCCAGCCGGCGATATAGTTTTGCCGAACGGTCAAAGAATTGAAAATTTTCTGGTGGTAAATAAAGAGAGAATATTTATGGAGAACGTTGGCGCTGTCAAGGAATTGTGTAAGGTAAAGTTAAGGATGAATCAGGTCTTCGCGATATTGATACGTGTGAGACTTTCGCGCGCGCGCGCGCACGTAGCTTGTTTTTGATTAACATGTTTGTTGCAGGTGACAGATAGTCTAGAAACGAGAATAGATCAACTAGAAAGAATAAATAAGCGACTAGCGAAATTGAAAAGAGGCGATAGTTTAAAGAGCTCCATCAGCACAGTATCTAGTATATCAGGCAATAAATATTCATCCTCTATCAATAGCAAATCGTCCTTACACGGGAAAACGAAAAGGCTCGAGAGGGAGGAAGACCTCCTTTGCAGTAATAAATTTATTCAGATTATCATTGTTATACTTATCCTCATCATGGCATTTTGGTAATTATCTCCTTAACTCGAGCTTTGACCTGCTTTGATCTGGCATGGTCTCTCTTCGAGGAACATCCTGATTGATTCATTTTACGACTTTCAGTTTGGTTGCAATGGCAACTTTATACTTCTTAGAATATCAAAAGCGCAGTAGCATTGAATGGTCCGCGATGGCGAGTAATGGAATGTTGGCCATTGGTCCGGCTCATCCACCGACTATGTCTACCACTCCTAATTACGATCCACGATACAATTCGTTACTGCACAGTACATTGGCCTCTTTATACACCAAGCATGGCTCTTACACGAGAGGATTAGACGGAGGATTATCTGTCAAAAGTAATTCTCTCACCACACCACCGTCGCATACAAAACAGCAGCTATATTCTCAAGAAATAACGTGGTATCCGATAAGCCACTCGGGTCCGCAACCTAAGCTTGACAAAAATAAGTTAGTAAAACATATTTTCTTCGTGATATCATCATAAAAAAAAAAACATTTTAATAACTTAAGCTTAGTAAAGCATATTTTCTTCGTGATATCATCATAAAAAAAAACACACATTTTAATAGCTTAGGCTTGACGTCATATCGCTAATATTTCAGCGAATTTCCCGGAAACTGGCTCAGTAGAAACGGTGCGGGTGCTGTGCCTAGTAACGTGGATGAAAACGAACAAACCTCAGACGTAGATTCTTCATCCGTTAATAAAGGTCCGATACCTTTAGGAAGACCTCAAGAATGTCCGGCGCACTTCACCGAGCTCGAAAGTCCATGTCAGGTATTTGGAAAATCCGTTGATGCTGTAAATCGTCTTATCAAAAGACAATGTAGATATAACTTTATTCTGATTAAATGAAAAAAATTATTTTCTAGGTATACTGCTGCACAGCTGAGATTCATCAGTTGGAAGATCCTCAGCCTGACCATCCACCGGAAAAGAAGTCCATTTGTAAGTTTTATATCTGGCTTCTATAAATTGATTAAAAGGAAATTAAGTACATAAGAAACAAATATTTTCTCCTCACTCATTATATAATCGTTTTGCCATACATCAACGATAATTTTGAATCTTTTCACTCACCGCGTAAAGTCTCAATAAAAATTAAAAAATATGAAAATATATATCATTGTACGACAGACTTAATTCTAATTTAGCAGATCACCTGGAGCAACCGCTCAATATACACGAAGAGAAACGAAAAATAAATAAAGGTTTCCAAAACGGTATCAGCCCATCCGATCCCAGCACTCAAACTCTCGTAAAGGAGGTATGGAATTTTATTTAAATTATTACAACGGTAACATCGCAGCGTTGAATATTTAGGGTTGTAAAAATGTATGTTTATTCTGCAGACCAATTATAAGTATCTGCATAAACGAGCGAGGCGAGAAACTGGTGACGTCGAAAATTGGGGAGAAGTAGCCAGTAACGCTGCAGGATCGTTACCGCCAGAACCCAAGCCACAATTATTTGTAGTTGCGAAAAATTTCAATACCTCTTTGGATCAAAGATACTGCTCCCCGACGTCGCCGGACACGCCCAACAACATTAGTTGCATCGTACCTTTGTCAAAACATATGCCGGATACGCATTTAACGTTACATTTTGTGTAAGTTGTGTTTGTTGTGTGTATTATTGTAGTATTATTATTTATGAAATATATTTCTGACAGTCTTGTATAACTATGATCTTTCTCTTCATAGCGGCATGCTATACTGGCAAATTGTGCAGCAGTGCTCTTTCGCATCAAATTCCGGCATTGACGAGACGATGATGTGCAGTTGGAACTATAATATACAACAACAAAATCAATACAGTGAAAATAATAATCAACCAGGTGATCAATCCTTCCCTCTTGACGTCGCTCATTACCTCAGGAAGACTTTGAAGTTTCGTATACCTACGATACAACCTCAAGAGGTAATTATATGTTGATGTCTATTTGCATATATTAATTTGTTGACAATTCTTTTTAACAAACTGTTCTTTAACGTCAAGCAAACCATGCTAATTATCATATTATTTCGTTACAGAATATTTGCAAAAGTAAACATGGTGTTGATTATTTGGAATTTACACTACACTTTTATCGGGACTGCGAGGAGCAATAAATCTTCTCTCGTTGTACAGTGCATTTTGTAGGAAACTTACCGAGACAAGTTTCCAAACGTGTCTAACAACAAAAAGCTAGATTTTCCATTCTATTTAAGAGAAGAAAGCCTTTGTGCCTTTGTAATCTGCCCTCTGCTTTCATAGTTTACAATATACTGTATTTTATACGTCATCTCGTCTGCTATACAATGAACTTCACTTTACAATTGTGTACAAACGTAATATTGAATATTTAATGTCGTAATATTGCATTATGCAATATCGTTACACGATAATTATTACACGATACTTATCGTTGATTTTTAATAAGTTATTTTTACTTTGGGTATCTTTTTCATAGTAATACAAATTATCGCGACAAGTGATTATTTTAATACTTTTGTTTGCAATACTACTTGTGTTTATATCGAACCGTATTATAGAATTGCGAGTTCCTAAAGATATTGTATAGTAAATGTTTATCATATTATAAAATTATCATCGTATGTGCACATATACTTTACTCGCGCTAACGGTAGAAATATACGCGCATGAACAGCTTAATATAGAGCAGCTATTAGAAAATCAATACTTCTGATTGTGTAAACGTGCTAATTTCAATTTCGTATAATAATAATGGTTATAGAGAGAGACGCACCTTTATATTACATTAACATATGAAACGTGTAATGATTACAATGTCTTAAGACGAGGAACAATCTCCAAACGATTTGAACAAACGATAAAACTTTTGCCGTCCACGCGCGCATTCTGTATGGGAGAAAATGTTTTTACAGAAACATAATTTATCGATCGACTATCTGTGCGCCAGATGGTCTGTTGTCTATACTCAAAGCTCAGTGCACAAACTTGTGATGTATTGTAGAGAAATTGAAATTTGGATAATTATTAGTATATATACCTTATATATATATATATAGAAATTGTGTATAAACTATACTTTATTGTACAGTAATATACATTTAATTATATATGATTATGATATAGCAGATTATTAATATAGAGCGTTGCTAAATGATATATTGGCAAATTTTACTTATGGATTCGATTTACGTTGCGATTTATGTACTCACGTAAAAATCTCGTTTAACACGTAAATATTTTAGACAATTGTCTCAAACGCGTATGACAGGGTATATCATAATAATTGCGATACATGCAGATGAAAAAAAGAACAAATTGGAAGGACGCAAAGAGATATAGACGAGTTGTTATATCGTGGGACTTGGGAAACCGATTTGTGTTTCTCGTTTATACGTGCATTTGTATATTTCGAATTTTTCTTAATGTCTAATTGACTCTTTATTGTTATTTAATATTATTTCTATGCTTTAATTTTAGCATATAAGCTGTTATTCTATTGTATTATGATTTTTTGTATCTTAGTGTGTGAAGCTATAATCTATAGTAATATTATAAAAGTAGATAAATGTATTATAATTATGTATAGTAATAAGATATATCGTATATAAGTAAAAATATTTTTAAGCCTTACTCTTGCGCATTCTCTTTGCGAGTAATAAATTTATATTCATAATTAACATTGTTTCCACGATGATTTATTCATCACTTTTATTATTCTAAGTGACTCAACTATACAATAAATACAATACGATATATACAAACAGCATATTCAATATTTTCATAAAAATTATATTCTTTGAGAATAATTTGTAAATGTAAACAAAGAGATCTGATTCAATCTGTTGTGTAAAATTAAACACGAGAAAAGAAATAAGATAAAATTATTAAAATATCTCTTCACACACAGTTTGAAATCCAATGAGATAATTGCCTAAATTTAAGAGCACTAGATTTCGATCTATTATTTTTTACACCTCATGTATCATTACAATAAAAATAGGTTCGACTAGTTACAAACGCACATTTATTCCAGTATCGGTAAATACACGTTCAGTACATATTGCTGTTGATGAAGCAACAAAAGTTTAAAATCTGAAAAGAATGTATCTACACGTATGCCCCAGAATATTTATACTATTGACGGTGCTAAATTAGATTTAACTCACTTCCATTACCATCTCACATATTTACATATCGGTATAAAACTCTTTTTACATTATCTAAAGAAATAATAGATTATTCTAGATTACTCTGTCATGATCGACAATGATCACAAAGGCGCGTCAGAAATCTGCTTATGTATATCTAAGCTGTATTCAAAAGTTTGCAAAAAAAAAAAAAAACGTTCGAATAAGCGAATAAACCGTAGCAAATAGTATTATACATAATGTGTACAACAGATACAGAAGAAAGAATCATCGATCACACTTTATGTTGGATGGATACTCGGAAAGGAATATATACAATCGACATATAAAATTTAATATAATTTACAAATTCATACCTATATTATGAACAACGGCAGATTAAACGGCATGTATACAGCGCGATAGAGTAAAACGATACAACACAGTCACATAAAACTGTCCCCGTAATTGTGAATTATTGTCCTACTACTTAACGACAAAAATGTATAATGTATTTTTATCTATATTTGCACATAGAAAATTGTCTTTAGAATATGTTCTACATTCGTATAGGAAAATTATATACCGTCACGCCATATAAGTTGTAACGTAAAAAAAAGGCAATACCTTTCTCGAGCAGACGAAATGCGAGCGATTAATTGTGTATCAGCTGCATATTGACGGGCTCTGAAACGCTATTAATATAACAGCAGTGTTGCAATTAAAATATATCGAAATTATAACATCACCTTCGATTGAGAAGAAGCGTAAAATATCTAACAAACAACACGCGTTGTGTCGGCAATATACAGTCACTTGAATACGTATACCTCTCTCTTCGTCACGTGGTGTTAATTACAACTTCTTACAAGACTCTATTGAAAAAACGTCGTAATCTGAAGAATATCAGTTTTACAAATATAAGCCTCATAGTTCTTTCATCAAGAACGATTTATCATCAACCACTACGGTTCTCTCTTTCCCTTTCTCCAGTAAGTTACTATTATCGACTACTTCCCAAAGTCCTATTTTCTCTATTTTAAACGATACAAAAACAAAAATTTACATGTAAATCTAATGTTACTTTATGCATAGATGTTATCACACCTTAAGTAGCATGTCTGTCTCTCTCTCTCTCTCACTCTCTCTCTGTCTCTCTCTTTTTTTAAATCAGTTATTGCACTGTTATAATACTTAATGCGCATAAAATATTCGAAACGGATACGTATACCACGAGATCATTATCATATACATTCGATGCTTCTGTGAAAAAAAAATCTGGTATTATTTCTCCCGTTTGTATTCTCTTTGTTCGTCCGATGATTCCTCGCGAACAGCTAGTACCATCCTTAACATAAGAACGGCCAGCAATTTGTCTAAAGGATCCATGAATCCTCGTTGTATCCATTTTGGTATCGTCGTGCGTGCGTGAGAGAACCCCAGTTTTTGGAGGATATAATCTATGCCGTAAGGTTCTATGCTCTTTCCAGCCCACGAGAGCAGTCTGAATGGAAGGAGGCAACGGTTACACCATCAGCGATTTTGCACGTGGAAAGCAACGTGCATTTGGAGTTACAAGCGGGGCTCTACTCACCTCACCGTCGGCTCCAGGTGCCACGTCTTGCACCTGTACGATCGCCAGTCCTTGATGAACATCTCAGCAGGATCGAATTGCTTGCGTTTCTTCTCGTCTTCGGAGGTGACGGTCACGTTGGACGCATTGGCGGTACTCGAGCTTGCACTCTTCCTGTCCTGCGGGTCAGGACTGTGCGCTCTGGCGCTCATGCTCTGCATCGTGTGCTGCGAAGAAGCAATTTCATAAAATTCACATTCAGAAGCAGAGGAAGAGAAGCCAGAATGTCCCTCTCGGAGAGACTCGAGATCTTACCACTCTTTCCTTCTCTTTCACATACGATGTGATGAGATCGTGCAGGAAGAAAAAGGCCTCAGCGTCAACGGTAACGAAAATGTGATCCTCGAATTCTGTTATGAAACTGCACTCGACCAACGGTTTCTCACCTGGAAATCGGAGCAACAGGATGTAACAGTGTCTCCACGATTCTTTCTGAAGAGCCGAGCACATTTCATATATGCACACTACATTCTCCTGTATGTACACTAACGGAGAGCGATATATCGCGCGAATGTACAAGTATATTCTTGGATTAATCTGGCCAAGTAACAACCAATTTTCTTCATGCTTACATAAACAACGCTAAGGAGCGCGATTATAGCGCGAACAATCATGGACTTCTACGTAAACTTATAACCGCTATGTCGTGCAAACAGTCGTCTCAATCAGTAGAGTCATCCTCGTCCGGAATGAGAGCGAGAGATTTTGTTGAACAGCAGTATGGGTCAATCGATTAAAAATGTCGTTTAAGCGTCTAATCAACACGCGAAGCGTATGAAACAGGCTTGTAACACCTCTTACCCTTTTAAACAGAGAATAAACCTCGCTCCATACTTACTATATAAAATATGCTTAGGAAGTCCTAAAAATATACGAAAAGAACCGATTGCAGAACAATTAACATAACAAAGAAAAGTGTATAAATATACTGTGTGCTTAAAAGAATTCAACATAAAAGCACTTGTAGCAACAAAGTACACATTTATCGATATGTAATATTCTGTAACGTTTCCAAATTACTACTATACCACACAAGTAATGAGAGTCCGTTATTATACACACCGTAACGAATACAACATATTTTCGCATCTAATAAAAAATTGCGTCACCGGACAATCAAGCGAATGACGCAGAGAATCCTTTATTCGAGGAATTACGCAATAATCACACACGCACCTATGACGTCCGGTGTCCTGGCGGTTTGCAGGTGTTCAGTTTTCAAATGTAATTGCATCGACGGCAGGGCGAATATCACCTCTCGCGTGTGCGAATGTTCCTGCAGCTTACTGGACGTCGCGGACGTGCTTCTGCCGCGCGTTGCGTTAGCAGCGTCGGCCGTATTGTCCACTCTGTCTCTCTCGACACACGGAAATCTGTCGACCGCTGTAGATCGATGGAAAAAAAATTTAACAAATATGTAACATATAATTGTACAGAGACAGAAAAGTGTATAATATGATAATTCTATGAAGTTCAATTCATACCGTCGATCTCACTACTAGCGAAAGCATAATGGAACCATTCCTGCAGAGATTTGAACTGAGGTGGAAATAGAACACTTCGACTTAATCTACAGACGGTTGCCATGGAATGATGCCGCGCGTGCTGTTCTTGCTGATGGCCCAGGCTGATGGTTAAAGTCTGCACGACATGTACGTCGCACGTGTTGGGTGCTGTGAAAGCAGAAGAATGAGAGATCACGTGTGTACTTTTGTGTAAAGAGAATGCGACTAGAATTAAGTGGATTCATTACTCTCAACACTTGGGATCTCCTGTGCCTCTGTAGCGAAACTGATACAAGGCTCCTTCAGCGAGAACAGAGCCCAGCTCTTGCTCTTAAAATTAATCCCGTGAAAACAGGCTAAGCTAATGTTGGAGCCGTGTAGCTCCATTGTACCACCAAGGACGGTACCGGTTGACGGTAGGGAAAATCTTAAGCTTCCTAATTGAAGACCGGCTACTTGAGCTAACACTCTTTGCCAGTGTCTATGGTGTCTAGCGTCGGATATCGCAGTCTGGTTTAAACCCCATGGGCCTGCAATGACATCAATTAGCATTCTTACCATAAAAATATCGTATGACTGTCCTATGCGACGAGTTCGCGTTTACCATCAGCGGCGGATCTCTTCTTTTGTTGCCTTTTTTTGAAGCTGCTGCTATTTATTCTCTGATGCTTTGGTTGCAACGAGCTGAACACACGTTTGCTACTTTTGAATTGTTGGCTGAAGAACTCGTCGAGCTTGTAAAACATCTTCAATAGGTCGGCTGTGGTCGACTTGCTGATCATAATCTGCAGCTGATCCCAACCCAGGTCTCCGTGCATGAAAATGACCGCCGGCCTGTGTTTCGTTTGATCGCATACGTATCAGTGCATCGTTCGACGACAATTATTTACTCGTCCTCGAATATGAAATATTCTATATTTTCTTGAAACTAATCGGATAACGAACCTTCTTGTCGGCATAAAAGCATCTCCACCGCTGTTACGATTGATCTTCCATTCGTCCCTCAGAGTAACGTCCAATGAAGACACCCGAGACATCAAAACGCTCGTCCCCATGTAGTCCAGTCGTAATTCCAACGCGAACAGCTTCAATCCCACAGTGTGGTCAGGTTCTATTCCGGGCTCTTCTCGGATATGTACTAAACACGCAATCATTCATTTGCGTACTGAATCATTCAACCGTTGCTCAAAACTTACTGTAATTAACGAATATTTACTGTAAGTATCGATTCTGCTCAACTCGATGATTCCACCAACGATACCACCTTTCGCGTCCAAGCTCGATCCCCCTAGACCGATGCCAATGTACAGATTTTTATGACCTGTGCTGCCGATAGACAGTCTCCCATCCGACCTGAAGTCTTTCGTCATCCAGCTGACGTTACCCATCACATTGCCCATGTTCATATGTACGTTCAAGCGTGTAAAATTCACCGCGAACAGCACCAACGTCTCCCACGCGGACTCCCTCAGCTTGACCTCAGACGATGTCTGCTTGTCCGTAGTGAAACTCCATCCTCTCCCGATATCTAGACGTAACGATAACGGGTTTGACGTGAGCTTCGTGCTTTAAGTTTCCAACTGTTTTACCAACTGTTTTGCAAATCGCAGTGTAACGAGCGAATACCTTTCAATCGCGTGGGTCTCGGTGCGTCATTCTCCAAGCTTAATTTCAATTTGTCCCTGTTCAACACGGGACTCCTTTCAGGCGCGCTCTTGGACAGTGGATCGCACACGTGCCTATCGTAATGTTTCAACAGCGAGCTGCCCATGACTGCCTGATGCTCCTCTTGATTCAACGGCGGGCTGCCGTCTCCTTCTGAATACAAGGCACCGGAACTCAGGTCTCCGAGAAATAAGCGTCTCACTATGCTGCGTCGATACCAGGCCTTCGGAAAGGCCAAAATCTCCGTCAGTCGACGCATATCGTACTTGAAGGAGGCGGATCCAATGTCAATGATAGCTGGAGATCGAAGGTAAGAGAGTCAAATCTTAATCCTCATTCTTAACTTCCTTATATTTAAAGTTTAATCTTATTTAAATAAATCTCGCGATTTTTGTAATGCACGCACTTGAAAACCGTATGACGGCACGACTGGTGTCGGAAAGCTTCTTGAGCTGCTCGCTTTGGAAATTGAGCTTTCTGCTTCTCGATAAGTGAAATTTCACGAATTCCACGTTGATGCTCAACGAGTCCTTTCTTTCGCTGTCCGACAGAGGCGACCATTGCGCTTCCTTCAGGCCCGTTTTCTTGCCGCCGCCGTACGGGTGAAAGATATAAACGGAGAAGTCCGCCAGACAACCTGTGACGGACAACCCACCGATAGCTGAGCCGCCGCCTTCTTTTCCTGTTGTTTGCGCGTTCATCGACTTGAACTCTCGAAACTCTATTAGCTCCTCCTCAGCCCGCTTGGACGAGAACACAATATCGAGGGATGGCAACTGCAGCATGCATTCCACTCGTGACACCGGCAAGCACGAGAATCTGTATGGAGATTCAAGTTTATCGTCCAACGGCAAGTTTATCGGATTTACGGCAATCCACGTCGGTACTGGCTATTCTTTTTTTTACCTGAACGTAGACGGCTGCATGTGGAAATACACTATAACATCAACCGGAAAACTAGCGTAAACGTAATTACTGCTCGCAGCAGTGGCAGCCCACGAGGTGTCGGTGTTGTTCTCCAGCAGAAAGCCAGCGTTCGTCTGTGCGCTGCTCTGGAAATTGTTCTTACTCGGAATCGGCTCTAATGTTTGTTCGAGAAACTCCAAGATATGAGGGCTTATGATTGTTTCCTCCGGTATGCTCTGGAGAGTCATCCAGGCGAACAGACTGGCCTTCTTGGTGCTGGATTTCCTGAACACTGTCATTGTGATCGGATTCAACAGACTGTTCTCGGCGGACACGCGTGGAGACAGTGATTCCTCCGGGAGAGTTTTCGACTCATAGTGAACCTGCAAGACAATCCTCGCTTTCATGCCACTGCTTTAGGAAAAATGACTGAGACAGTCGCGTCGATTCTATGGACGATGTTAAGTCTCACCTTAACATCTAGACCAGGGATATGAAATATTGTTAAATCTACTAAAGGCACACTTGTATGCTGCAGATATCTCAATCGGGACGTGCTAGTTGCCGACGATTTTTCCTTGCTGTTTAGGTGTTTTCTGCTACTACTAGGACTACTAGGACCTGGCTGAAATTCGAATGTACCGCCGGAACATGATCTCTCTTTCTTCATTCTGCTCAAGCTGTAAACAGAATAATGCACGATTAAGCGGCACAAACTTGCAACAATTTATCTCTTTCTTCTCATTTTTCGTTGCACTTGCGTGTACTAGATACTTTCAAACTCTCTACAATCACGTAAATACTTCTTGTACAGGAATGAATTTACATGTAAAACTAGATAGAATTATTACACTCACAGTTTAATCTCATCTTCCCTCCCATCTTTCGTGTGTAACACGCATTTCCCGCTGTTGATTAAAACTTTTACGTCAAGCTCGAAATCTATATTAGGCTCTTGAGTCTTCTGAGATGTAATGTACGGGGACGAGGTGGACGACGCTTGCTCCTTGCCGAATGAATCGAGCAACGGTGCACTGCGACGAAAAGACGATGTAGCATACGTGTGATTTCATTAAAATGCATCTCATACGTGTGTGACGGTGAGACCGTAGGGATACGTACTTGCCCTCCATACTGTCGTAACTAGACGTACAACTGATGTCTCTGTTCTTCTTTCTCAACTCGACTCGCTCGCCTTCTATCTCGATAGTCTCCGGCCACTCTAACTCTCCTTCCGGTAAACTCAAATCAGAACCGGCGCTCGGTAAAGACGATTGCCTGATGGACGACGATACTTGGACAATTAATTTGTACTTATTTGTTTGATTGCTAACGCATTTTCCTCGAACATACCTGCACATCGTGTGCGTGTCGCTGAATGTGACCCTTGGTCCACCGAGTCCCCTCACGCGCAAGGAAGCCGACCTGAATCCGCAGAAAATTGTCACATTTGAAATCACATTCACAAAATCCGACCAGAGAGTCATGATTGAAGAAAACAACAAGTCACAAATATATCTTACCGACTGGGGCCGCTCCTGGGACTGCTTTCATAACTAGCCGAATTCGCCGAATTAATTTCCGTATTCATATCTTCCGGACTTTCCAACTGATGCTCCGGCGTAGGCGAGGGTACGATGAATGATCTCGAGCGGTACGCACTTGTTTTGCTGCCCAGACCTAATTTACCCTTAATACCGGATGCTTTGACAGACTGTCTCCTCAACTTCTGAATCATATCCCTGGAGAGAGCATAGATTTGAAGAGAGCAAAACATGCACAACTGCAAAGAGAATTGTTTCATGACGTACCTCCTGAAATCCTTGAACACCATCGCTTCCAACTCGTGCAGACGTTTCATTTCTTGCTCGATCGTTCCATGCGAAGCGCCCAATATTCGCAGGTCGTTGATAATTTTAGCCTGTTCGTTCATTTCCTTCTCTATCAGTTTCGATCTCTTCTTCGCGTCGAGAGTAGGATCGAAGATGAACGCTGGGAGACTGTCGGTCCAATTCTTCGACTTCTTCATCAATATGCTTTCCTACAATTACACATACAGTCGTAATTTAGACAAAACGCATGAATGAAATCTTTACCGAGGAGTTTACGAAACGAACGAAAGGAAATAAAGAGCAAAATGTACATAGCACAAAGCAAAGCGAAAGATGATGAGAAAGATTTAATGTTAACTTATTTTCTTCATAAATAACAACGTGCTTTGTCTACGTTCTACGTTACTTACTTAGGCGTAATGAGAAATTCGCACGCAAGCCGCGAAAAATAAAAATGAAGCAAATCATACTTTTTTCTTAACCTGGCTAGTGCTATTATCTGGCTGATCCGCGTCGTCGCTGTCGTAATCCGGAGGCACATGTATGTCGTCTTCCTCTTCGGACCCGGTTAACATTGTTAACGTATGCCCAAGAGCCGACAACTGTTGTCCCACACTGACGTCGAGATGAATATCAACTCCCTCCATTTGCCATTGAACGTTTAAAATCCACTTGGCATTATCTGGAGAAGATTAATTGTCGCCGACCATTGTAGCTGAACAACCGACATACATGTGTCTTCATACTTCTCAAACATCATTTTTAATAAAAAATACCGAATCATACCAGACTTGTCTTGTTTCTGCGCGATAGTCCTGCTGCACACTTCGTAAGTGCCTTCCGATACTACGCATAAATTCATTATATTGCTATCAGTCATATCTGGCTTCCAGTCATCTAGAGAGGTCTCGAAATCTTCCGCGAATCTCAAGCACAAGCCGACAAATCTAACGACGGAGAATGAAGAAAATAATATCTCAATATTAAGAATTATATCAAGGTACGAAGTGACCACACATACACACATACCTTCCTTTGCTGACTAAACTACCGCTACTGCACGCGGATATGCTCGTATTTTCCAGCGTCACCACGACTGCACCTCGCGATTCTCCATCGTAGAGACCTCGGTTGAGTCTCCAATTATTCGGTGGCAAGGGATTAAGCGGCAAACAGATGCCCATATCGTCGACGGTCAATTGCAAGAACAACGTGCCCAGGTGAGGTGCGCTGAGCTGACTCGTCAATTGGCCAAACGGAACCTTCTCGAATACCTGCTGAGTGGCGGTCAGTACCTCTTTATTCAAATTGGATCGCTTCTCGTTCCAGTACTCGTACGCGTTCTTGTAATTCAGCCAAACGAGTATGGCTTTGTCGATGGCCATCGGTTGTATGTAGATCAACGGACGTTTCAGAGTGATCAAAACCACTTCCTTGTCCTCGCCTTGAGCCATCTCCTCTTGAAACGCATTTCGTAGTCCTATTCTGGTGTTGAAGAAGGCGAACTGCTGGAACTCGGGCTCGACTTCTTCAAACAAGACGTTCTTCAGTAACTGTCCCAGGCTTAGGTTGATGTCGACTTGCGCTTTGCCGAACAGCTTCATGTAGGGATTTGGTTGAGTAGCGCCGGAGACGTTTTGCACTCTGTTCGACAATTGAAACTCCACCGCGCCGGTCTCCAATCGTACCGCCGAGTTTGTTGGAGTCGTGGCGGTCAATTGAATCCTCTGTAAAGGAATGACGTCAACGACGAAATCGCGGAGGTTCGGCAATAGAAGATTGAAGTTTCCGCGAAAAATGTTCTCACCTTGATGCGTATTATTAACGAGAACAAAATTCGTTTCAACGTCGAACTGTTCGATTCATCGTCCTCGAGCCACAAAGGCACTGGCTTCTCGCCCCCGTAGACTTTCTGCACCACCTCGTTCACCTCCTTCATGAATACCTTCTGTACGAACACCAAGTGATTCAAGAGATCCGTCGTCAAGGAGTGCTCGAACACTCCGATATCCGCGGTTGCGCTGAGGTAGCTACCCTGACGTAACACGACCCCATCTGCGAAGCAGAGTCAAGAATCTTACTCGAAACATGTTCACGAAGGTACAACAATCGTTAAACCCACACCAATTTATATTGACAACTGAGAATTGGAAATTAAAGATTGAAACTCGACCAAGAGTGAAACGAACCAAGATCAAATTTAGTTGATTTGTCAAATTCTGACCTCTAATTCACAATCTTTCATAATCAGTATAATATGTAAGCTTGAAGCTTACGTCCAGTGTGTTGTTTACCTGCCAATTTACTGTCGTTCAAGCTGCTGCTACCATCTTGAATGTACTCAGCCGAAACGTGTACTTTAGGCAGCTCGATGCTAGCCTCGGACGGTAAATTCGCCTCTGTCACTTGCAACTTTGTCGTGAAACTCAGGTTATGATGAGGCAAGTCTATGGTGAACTTGGCCTTGCTACCCGTTATGCCAGAACTGTTCACCTGATCCATCTTGTACTGCGCTTGGAGGGACGGTAACAATGCCGCGGTGATGCTCAGACTCTGAAGTATAATATGGAATTGCATGACGATAGGCTCCAAAAGGCCGGACACCGCCTGCGGCTTCTCCACGTCTATCGAGGGAGCTGGCGCGTAATGATGCGGACTGCCCGGAGCCGCGTCTACCTCGTCTTGCTGTTGCCCCCGCGACATTCTCGACGACGTTCTGGTGACTCTGAGCTCCTACGAGAGACAAACCGTTCTGTTTCTTGCACGATTTCTTGAGGAAATCTCGTTTATGTGATTCATGATGTCTACGTACTTGCAAAGTTGACGACAACTGCTTGCTGCCCCTGGTCATCATTCCGTGCAAGGCCACAGGGTGCTGAGGTATATCGATATTCACAGCGCCGACGGTCAGCAGGCCGCTGTTCTTGTCCTTCTGACGTCTCGTAATACTGGAATACAGAGCCTGCGACTTTCCAACAGTGACCTTCACGACCGTCTGTTGGCTAGGCGCGACACCCTCCAGCAGGACGATCATGGTTCTCCCGATTTGTCCAGTCATGCTGCACTCCAGACTCGCGGGTCGTGACTTCTTGCGGCAAGTCAAGCTGGCGTGCAGACTGGTGATCTCAGCTTCGAGCTTCAGACCGCTCAGAGTGGCCAGTAATCTGGTCCTGTGGATTCTCGCAACGCCGAAGATGATCAGCCGCGTCCTCTCACCCGTCACGATGTCTGTGAACGAATGAAAATGACGTTTTCATCATCAGTTTTCAACACGTTTTCAACACGGGGAGGACATTGAGATACGTCCTACGACACTCACTCAATTCTCTGGATGGAGGGACAGGCGTCGAGCTGTTCTCGTTCATGCCCTTCTCGACATCAGCGTCCTTAGTCTCGTTCAAGATCTCGTATTTCCTACCGCTCTTGTAATGTTCCGCAGCCTCCGCGGGTATCGAGAACCGGTGAGTGATGGTTTTTGTCTCTGGTCGAGTCGCGTATAGATCCAGCAGGTAGTATATAGTCTTCCAGCAACGCGGTGTCAAATGCGCGCTGTCCTTGTACTTGTCCGATATCACCGTGAACTTGTCCAGCCCAGAACCGCTGGGACTCGCCCCAAAGCTCGGTGTAATGACACCCTCGCTCAGATTGATGTAGCCCTTTACGCTTTTGCCAGTGCTGCGCAATTTTTGCGCGAAGCTCTGCGGCCGAGATCGCACGGTCGCACCCGGGAGGATCTTCGACTGGTTCGGCTCGAAGCTGCTGCGAAGCAACGGGGCCTCGACCTTCTTGCCGCCAACGAGGAACTGTTCCTGCAGATCGGACGCTGAAACGATATTATTTCATCGATTATCGTCTGATATTATATAATTATTAATAATAATATATACGATATGCGTGCTCACTTGACGACGAGCCGTTCTTCGCAGCGACATCGTTGACGATTATGTTGGTGTTGCGTTTCCCTTCCGGCTGCTGTTCCTTCAACTCCATTTGCGTTTCTTTCACATTCTGATACATGTTACTTATCTGATGTAACAGCCTGAGGAGAGGCATGTTCACCTGCTGGCTTATGTACCGGATATTCAGACTGATATTTACTACTGTGCTAGTGTGTTTCTTCAGTTGGCCTCTAGATATGTACAGAACGTTCTGCTTCTGTATCATGTCGTCCACCGTCATATCGGCCATCTTCTTAACGTCTATATCTATGCCGATTCTCTCGCATAAGAAGGCTGGAGTTTCCGGCGGTATGTCGAGGTAGAATTTAGAGTTGTTTCCTTTTCTTGCTTGATACTTGTTATCTAGAAGTATTCAAATAAAGGGATGTTGTGTATGTCACTTGTAAACAGTCTAAGATACTTGAAATCTCTTATTCTGGTACTGGTACTGAAGAATTCGAGGTACTGAAGCGATTCTTAAAAGGCTTACTTTTCTTCTTATCCGTTACTTTTCCAAATTCGCTGACGACTATGTCGATGCGCATAGTATCCATACTGCCAACGAGAGACAAATTCGAGCCTAACGAGTCCAAGGAAGACATATTATTTACGTTCCCTGACCCGATAACGGATAACATCTGCTGTGGCATGACTGACAAGGACGACAGAAGCGGCTCGAAAATCAGATGTGCATCCAACAATCGTAGAGAGTCTTTCATGGGATACAGAAAAGCGCCGCTTTGAATGTCGGAATCTTCGGTGTCATCAGTAGTCATGGTATTAATCTTGGAGTCCTGAAAGAAGAGGAGTGGGTTTCAGTTGATCCGAGAAACACTGAAGCGACATTGTAACGACAAATAGTGCTTCTAAGTGTACCTTCGTGGATTTTTGCTCTGTACGAAAGACCTGAATAAGCAAGATCAAAAATGAAGATAAGCGCAATGAATTTTTAACGCATATGAATTTTTATGTTCCCGGATATCCGTCTAGTTTCAACATTGAAAAATCGTAACGATACGACAGTCAGACTCACCCAATTTCCTTTCAAGTTTCCTTTGTCATTGTCCTTTATGAATTCTTGCTGTTTCGCCATCCAACTGTACAGATCTTCCCCTGTATTTATAGGTTTAGTGGAATGACTTGTGGGAGATGTCACTTGATCCAAGCTGCCAGTACTGTGTTGGCTGCCGTGACCTAAACCTCCGGAATAAATGCTAGGATTGGAACCAAGTTGGTGCGAATGTGAAATATGAATCTGTGGAGTCTTCTCTTCTCTGAGTGTTCCGTAACCTGGTATCAAAGCAATGTAGAATCAAGATATATTCTTATGGTTTTATTGTTAATAATAATCGAAAGAGAATAGCTACAAGCAGAATGGTAAATAAAGATACCGACGATAATTCCCAAGAGAGACGTACATTGGGGAAATTAATGTTCCAGAGATGTTAGCGAGAAAAATACCAAAACAAGACCAAATGACCCCATGACGATGGAGGTGACAATATACAGGAGATGAGATTATATGCACAATAACAACTTATATCGTTAATACTAATATCGTTAATACTCCGCTTGTTACACGCTTAACCGAGCATAAACGTAAGCTTGCTGATTACCAACTACTGATAGAAATAAAAACGATTCGATCGCTGTCCACTTACTTATGTTATTCGGTTCTCGTGTTTGACTGAACAGCCCACCACTTGTGAGCAATGGGAAAACGATACTTGCACGTGTACTAGCAGGCACTTGCGTTGGTTGCAACGTTTTTCCTCTCTTTGAAAGAGCTACGGGTGGAGAGGGAGAGGTAAATGAATCCGGGCCTGGAACCGGTGTTGCTAAGGGGGTCGTGTCTTTCCCGCGAGGAGAACTTACAGGAACCGTCAAACCATCACCACACATACCTGGTCATTCCACACGAAGCCAAGGCGTTTGTATAACATAACATTATGTTGGTTAATTACGGGACTAACAGGCTAATCGGTCGCTAAGAATAGTGCTTCCAATAGTGGGAGAAGAAGCGTTTTAAGCGTAAACACATATAAGCCTTTATATATATGTACACAGGGTCGGTAGAAAGCCATGAAAGCGAGGTGACTTCTGATGGAGTTAGTGTATGGATATTCTGCGATTATATACGTCGTGTAATTGCACCTCTTGATTACCGGACGAAAAGTGTAGGAATGTAAAAAAAGCTTGAGTAATTCGTGTGAACGTAAGTATCTTCAGTATTATTTTACGTGCGTATCTTAGTCTGTGTGAGAAACTAAAAGATCTTAAGCGAGTCTCTGTGTGTGTGTGTGTGTGTGTGTATGTGTGTACGTAAAGCACGTTTTATCCGATTCCATACTTGTAATTTAATTATATATGAGAAAAATTGTTTTCTCTTCTTCCGATCCCTTACTATCATCAGTATGAAATTGTAGTTTGTAATACCTGGTGTTTTATCTTGTCCACCTTTGATATGTATATGTTTGTGCATGTGGTCCGCATGGATGAGCATAGCACATTCATCTGTCACTTCCTGATCATCAACATCTCCTGCGCTACCTTCCCCGTCCGTCAACAGATTCTCCTACAAGCATCAGCAAACCAGACCCAAAGAGAATGGCTGTTTAGTGTATCTCACAGTTGAGTCGAAGATATGTAATTTTACACAACATTTTTTAATATATATGTTCTGTCGGGTGTGTTAACACATGATCACTTCAAGTTTCTCAGTTTTTTTTTTTATATTTATGACGATTATTCAATTTCTTTTCCCTTTGAAAGCACTTTGAAGCTGATTCTGTAAACTACAGCAGAATTCGATGCCGTATGGTTAATTAAACAATTTTCGAGTTACGTCGAAGTACTTCGTAACTATCAAAGCTTTCAAGCTGTATGTAATTATTTATTAGATAGCCACATATAATATTCCATAAGCATTGTCGCACCTGCACCTGTGATAAATGCGTATAATGTACGTGTCGCGATGTGAAACATGAAATCGTTGCATTTAGACATGTATATCAGCTTGTCGAAAGCATATTCGTATAACACATTTCTTAGGCGTTGCTCAACAATAATTTCGGAAGAAAGCACTTTTAAAAAGTATATGGCTCAATTTGACGACGAGAGAAAATATATTAACTACTTCGTTATACCGCGCTATGCATGAATTCTGCAAAAGACTCTTTACTGAAGGATTCTTACTCCTTTTCACATCGACTTCTGCCACCCGCTTTGTCTCGCTTACTCGCTGAAAGAAGGAAGATGATCCTAGCGAATTATGCTTTTCCTATTAATAGCTTTCGCAGATCTCTATGTAACGAGAAATTCGCAAGATGAGAAATCTATAAATTATATATTTATAGTATAGATCATTAAATATATTTCAACACTCACACACCTATGTTCTGTCAATCAAATAAGAATTTTCAGAGAGGACACACTATCGGTTCTCAACTTACAAAAATCATATGTTTATTAATTCGAAATATATCTCACCTCATCCGGATCTGACACAGCGAAAGTAACGTTCAACGGTTTAACGTGCTTAGTTTTGTAATTATGTTCCAATAATAACGGTGTGTAGAGCACGTTCTTCCACTGTCTACTCAATACAATGACTCCCTAATAAAAAAGCACAAAAAACAGAATTAGACTTTTATCGTACTTAAAAACTTAGACGATCAAATTTATAAACAGAATCAGACGCAATTTCGACTTACCATATGAATCATATTTTACGAGAACGTACTTATAAAAATTGTATCAAGGATATTACCTGTCGGAGTGTGGAGAGAAGCGGCAGATCGGATTCCTTCAAGTTGGCCTCAATATTTGCGATTTCAGACAGCAGAACGTAATTCTGCAATATGCTGCACAACTGGCAAGAGGGATCCTCCTGCAGCGTTTTCGCCAGCGGCGTTAATCTACCGTAACGACTCTACGCAAAGTTAAACGTTGGAATTAACGGAGAACGTCACTGCAAAATACCTTTACGACTGCGATCCTTCTGAGTACCTTCTGAGGCATGTGGAGTCCTTGCACGTCCAACGCCTCTGCCATAAGACAGGCGACGATCGCGGTGGATCTTCGGTACATAGTCCTGAACATATGGACGATTCGGATCGCAAACTTGTTGCTGGGATTCATCCAGGCGTTTATCGCCGGTGAGGCAGTGCTGAGCAAGTTCCAATCGAGTCTCGTATAGTCGATTTTCCTTGTTATCGGGGTGCGCGGTGGAGCGGCGAAATTGAACCACACTGTCTTCAGCTCGATTACGCACGACACGGTATTGCCGTTTGCTACTTTGGACGTGAGACTGGTGCATGTTGCGCTCATGTTCATTTGCGTGCCCGTAGATGGATTCGCTGGCTTCGCTGGCTTCGCTTCCGCTTCCGCGGCAGTTGTCGTGGACGCTGAGAGTGAATAACATGACACAGGTGAGCGCGCGATATTTTTTCGTTCACGCCGATTTTTAGTTCAATTGTCCAAATGTTTTCTCTCTATTCGAATATTTTCCTTTTCCTCCAAACTAAAAGCTGAACTTAATTTCTTAATTGCATTTTAATTATAACTCGTTACCAGCAGTGTTATCTAATTCTTCTTGACTCTTGACACTGTCCGTGCAGAATATCTCATTATCATTCTTCTTGTCGCAGTCGCCGTTCTCTCCCTTCTCAAACTGAGACCTCTTCACTACCTTCAATTTAATTCCTTCCAAACCGCACTCGAACATGATGAATCCTAGTCTATCCTCTCCACATCCCATAGTGAATTCCTCGGTAGCTTGTGGCGGTCCGGTTTGTTTCTGAAACGAATAGTGCGCAACAAATTGTTACATACGTTGTCGTCGAAGTCGCCCCTCCGAGAAAAAACACGTACATTTTGCTTCTCCTTCTCATCAATCAGGTGGTGCAAATAGTAATCGACGCACTTTAACGGCGACGTCATCCTGGTGCAGGTAAACAACACTTTAGAATAGTGCGCAGGTATAGCGGTTATCACTGCGTCCTTCAATATTGAAGATTCGTTCCTCAACCTTCTTAATTGAGAATGCGCTTTGCCTGTTGATAATCCAAATTTCAGCTCTCGCGTTTAGGGCATAATTTTTACATTCAGCTATTTTCGTCAGCAATTGCCAACATATTTACACACCAATATTTAAAGTGACTATGATCTCCTCCTGCTGCTTTTCCGACGTTTCGATGTACACCGTCTCTCCTCCGCCCATATCAGCTACCACCGCGGTGGTTTGATGTCCAGGCAGAAACGCTTTGCTGATCTTGTTCACCTTCTTCTGGTTTGGTAACGCAGCTGGCTTATGAAAGGTTTGAACAACCTCTCGAGCTTGTTTCCCCAGGTAGAACCGAGCAGTGACGTCGTCCAGGCATATCGCGAACAACGACACGCACGTCAAGTCGCGGATATTCTCCAACGCGGAGAATGATATGATTTCCTCAATAACAGATGCTTGCAGCAGCGTTAGGTTCAGCTGGAAACGATTTTGGGTATATATAACCGGGGACACATTTTACGTGAGAAATTCGCAGAAGATTATCGTACCTTTGGCAAGATAATACTGCCTTGCACCTGCGTGGTGATGCTCTCCTCGTAAACGTTGGTTTGCAACGCGATCTTGCCTATACGAGATTAGAAAGTTGTAAATACACACCGAGGAGATAAAGCGTGGCGAAGTGTATCGCATAAACTAACATTTATCATCACCTTGACCATTTTTTATATTCCTCTCCGCTGTGGACCGTTTCGAGCTGGTTTGCACTTGGCTCCAGTATGACAAGCTCTGGTCTTGCTTCAGGATGTTCGCGTCTTCCACTTTACCTATGCACTCGTTGTGGAGGTGGTTGAGGATCGTCAAGGGATGCAGTGTGCCCAACGTCGGTATGATGCTGTCGATGAAGCGCTGAAGCGACTCCAACACCATAGGACTCAGCATGATGTCGACGTCTCCTTTAAATTTCACGATCACCGTCGTACGAGAGCCGGTTTCGTTCAATATCGCCAATAACTCCTCTTCACCGTGCATCGCGTTGTCGTTCTCACCTGATGAAACCAAGTGAATTCGTCAGCAGCTCGAGACCATTTAAACACGCGAGGAGATCATTGGCGAAGATATACCTTCCGTCTGATTCAACGACGCATCGTCCCATAAGTAAGGATGCGTAGGAGTCTTGTTGGATGAGCTCGCTACGGGCGAGCCGTCGGAGCGCGTTATCATTTTCAACGATGTGAAGCCTTCCGTGACCGTGTCAAGTTTCGGTACGTATCGCCCACCGATGTAGACCAACCTGCCGTCGTCTGCACGTTGGAACACCGGGGTAGTAAACGCATCGCCGCCCGCAGGTAACGACGACTGGTTCCAATTCGAACAACGCACCTGCAGTTTTTCATTCCATAAGTTTATACATTTACATATCTATTATGCAAATATATCGTCATGAATATCATGAATTTACTGAAAATACATTTTGAATCTCCTAACGAGTTCGATACTTCAATCAAGAATATTAAATTAAAACAATAATATTGAGCTAAAAACAAATTTCTATATAAAGTTTCTATATAAGTTTTATAATATTCTGAAAAACAGAACAAGTAAACGAGTATAAAGTATAATAATGACCTTTTCTTAAAATTTGTAACACTTTAAGACTATCAGAAAAATACTTTCTGTTGAAGATAACCGCTTAAAGGAAAAAAATTGGAGTTGAGAAGAATTGAGTAATCATTTTCTTTTCGCAATAGAATATTTTTCTCTGTACATTTACACTAGGTAAAATGCTCAATCGATTGATATATCGAGAGAAAATTGGTACCAAGCGAATCGAACCTAAAAAATTACCTGCGTCAAGTGACTGACGTAGCTGGACATTAGCAACGGCGAGTCCACGATGGGTTTGTTCACTTGCATATGCAAGTTTACCAGCGTGACGTCCTCCTGCGACGATACAGCGGAAATGAAGCTGGTGGATGACACCGAATGACTATCCGAGGAGTCTTGCAAACCGCCATTCTCGGCTTGATCGATCTCTTTATGGAAACTAGCGTTTCTGTTGATCCTTGGACTCCGCTTTGTACTCAGGATCTGCGTCTTCGCTCTTTCCAACGTATGCGCCTTATCCGCCACCGAGAGAGTCACGTTCGCCGAGCTCTCAACGATTGACAAGTCCGACGAGAATTTCTTCTTGATGCTGTCGTTGCGATTCAAGACGCAACCGGAACCGACGATGGACTGGCGCAAGCTGGACGTCCGGCTGCCGCTTAATCCGTGACTCATGTCTTCGTCGGCGGAATAGAACGCTTCCGAGTGATTCTCAGACGACATGGATATCGTACGTTGCACCTACATACGGATAATAAATGATTACCAACAAGCGCATGATGTCTGAAATTTTCGTCATACAAAAAAGGTAAAAAAAGGACGGGTGTCCTTTATATTTTACCTCTTGCTTCAGCCTCTCCTCTGAGCTTGTTCTTATGTACAACGAATGATGAGAATCCGACACGTTCACACCCTCGCCGTCCTTCGTGGTTAATTGTATAGACCCGGAGAGATTGAAATCGGTCGGCACTATGGGCAAAGACTGCGGGCTGCTCGATTCGAGCATTTCTGCGTTCTCCGTTGCATTGAAATAATCCACAGCCAATTTGGAGTCGGATACACTGCTCTTCGGCGCAGCCTCGATCTCGGGTACGCTCAGAATGGATTTGCTGCGTTCCGCGTTCAGTTTCGAGTCAGAGTCCAATTTCTGGGGTAACTGGGCTACGGGACTAGCATCGATCAACCGTGAGTACGGTACGTCCTTCACATTTGGTCCACTGCAGCAGCGAAAAATTTATGTCGTGTAAGCACACTTTAAATTGAAACATTATCACAATTACCATAAAATTATATCCACTTTTGTAATCTTCTTCAAATCGACAAATCATGAGCATTATATTACGAAATAAAATAATTGTCTACTTGAATGATAAAAAAATCAGACTACCGCATCGATGTATAAGAAAATCTCCTGTCCAACGGTTTCCTGTCCGCACTCGATATCAGCGGGCTTACGGAAGTAACGTTTAATTTTGTACTACTGTTTTCTTCCTTGCTGTGATCGGTCACAGATCGCGGCCGTTCGGCGCCCTTCTTCGTAGTTTGCGAGCCATCTTGGCTGACTGTCACTTTCAATCCTGTGACAGGATAATATACGTCCTGCAAAGACACGTCCTGCAAGCTGTACGGTGGTGTGTGAAACACCAATTGACCATCGTGCAAGATCGACTGTCCAAATCCTTTTTCTTTACCAGGCTCGTGAATTCTGAAGCAAGATAACGCATGTATTATTATTTAGTATAATTAATATATGATGACAACGATCATAACTCGATCGATAGATGTTACTGCAAGAGCAAAAAAACTCTAAAAATTCCAATACAAAGAGATGCAAATATTCACCTGTAGGCAGCAATATTGATACCATCTTGAAGATCATGGTAGCTCGGCTTGAAAAATCTTGGTCCATTTCGATTATTGCCAAAAAACACACAACCACCGATGCAGCCGCACTTTGTCGACTTGACGCCGCTCTCCTGCGGCCAGAGAAACCACAAACGTTTCGTCGCCTCGTCGTGCATCTTTAAATACTTATTTTGTACCAAGTGCAAATTGTGCTCTGGTGTTGGAAGAGAGATTGCGGCTTCTAAGATGACAGGACCTAAAGATACTGACCCCACTTCGAGCCATATATCTGATCCATCTCCTATAAAAAACATATCAGATAATAAATATTCTTATAAATAATTTTAATATATATATATATATATATACACAAATAACTCAAGTTCATCGTTGAGTACAGAATATACAGGAGAAAATACTACCTGACATGCGACTGCTTGCATTATTATGAGATCTCCCGCTGCCGGTTGTATTAGTATTGCTTGTATTTGCAAAGTAATCAGCTGCAGACACAAATTGCCGAATCAATATCGTAGGTAAAACGGCGGTGACGCCCGACTTCACCTGATGTCCATGGAGATTACATGTGGAAACACGGATCGGAGATATCCAGAATTGTATGACAGTACCCACTTCTTGGAAATATAAATCAACAGCATCTATGGACAGTCTTGTCATTCTATACTTAATATCCTCAGAACTCGGACATCTGCAACGTTTGAAAGAGGAGACTCGGCTCAATTTTTTAGATAAATCATACATATATGGACTCTATATAAAAATTAAATTATATAAATACGAAAATATTATAAATTTCTTTTCAAGAATGGAAAATGAGAATCAAACTATGTTTAAAATCAGTAAAAATATCTTTCTTTTTGTTTTTTAAGTCGATAAACCGCAAGTATTTATTCGATTAATCCTCTTAGTTATCCACAATATACCTTTGATTAATGTCCAAGATAGTATTACTGAATAGAGATTATCAATGACACTATATACTGAAAGAGATAAGAAGCATACCTATAATGCTTATCGACATCGCTCTCCGGACACTGCAACGGAGGAAGACCATGGTGACAATGGAACGGCAAATTAGGCGGCCGCAAAGCGTTCTCAGTGTTCTTCGCCATCAATAAAAAAGTCTCCAGCGACGTGACGAAATGGTGTAACTGAGGGGAAGTGATCTTGCCGCTTAGTTTGCCCAGCTGCACCTCGATCAGCCACGCATACTCCAATGTTTCTTGGTCCAGACTCCTTCCCTCGTTGCTGAACATGGCGTGACCCCTGACTTGCAGCGCGCTCAGCATGAGGTGACCCTGTTTCAGATGATGTTCCTTGCCGGACCTCGCTACGTTGTCCGTGACCAAAGCGATAGCGGGGGAGAGCAAGAGCTGGAGTTCAGTCTCCTTGTAGCCTTTCCTCATCTCGAATCCAAAGCGCTCCAGAAGTATGACCGGGCACGGTGGATCATTTTCGTTGCAATTCTTGATGAGATGAGCTTGTATGTCGTGCATGGTAACACCAACAGTCACCTCCAGCGGCCTGTAATCCCTCGGGTCGAACGGCTTGGTTTTGATCTCCTCGTCCTCCATGGACGCCTCGATGCTACTATTTTGTACATCTTTGTCCTTGCTTCTCTCCGCGTTCACTGACGCAGAGCTGGTTCTACTTTGCTGCATGTCGGTGAACGCTTGATAATCGCCGAACAGATTCTCCTTCAGGTGCATGAAATTCTTCAGCAGAGACCCATACAAGATTAATATGGATGGTCCAATCTCGAGTTCTAGACTAACTTTATCGGACGCTATGGACTGCGGGTCGAATTTTTGCGTGCCGTTTCTCGCCCATTGCAGGCCCGGCGACTTTCTGCACTTGGGGATTCGCATAGGAGACAAGAGGATCTCTTCCTTCTCTGGCGTCGTTATGTTGGCTTGCGGTGTAGGACCCAGAGGTGGACACGGGTGGTAAGTATAATTGATACTTAGAGCTACGATTGGTACAGACCAACAGTCCACCCAGCCTGCTTCCTTTTGGCAAAAATTCCGCCACTTCTTGCCCCTATTCAGTTCGTGCAAGTGCTTGTGAGACCCGTCGCGAGTCATGATTTTCGCATTCTTGTCTAACGCTAATAGAATGATGCGATTGGTATTAACCTCTGGCAAGTAGAAGGAAAGATCAACGCTCTCCCCTTGAATCCAAAAGCGCAGAGGTATCGTGACTGGCAGAAAGTCCACAAATGGAAGATCGAACGATAGGTCGAAGAACTCCCCACAGAAGGCGATGTGCGCGTTCTCCTGGTTCTGAGACGAGCAATCGATCCAATTGTACTCGTTACAGACGGTGATCAGTTCGAATTCCTTCAGAAGCAGACCGAACTTCCATGTGTACGGAACGAAATGCAGAATGTCGGGTCTCGACTTGCTCGCCCAGTCGTTGATCATGTCTTGGAAGAAGTCTTTGTGCGAATAAACCAAGCTGGCGGTTGCTTTGCATCCGGTTAAGTTCAGCGTCCATTCCTGATGGTCGTTCCATCTGATGGGATAGTGACACTTTACACTAAACTCTAGAGTTTCACTCTCCACCAAACTCCGATACTGCAGGCTAGTTGTCGCTTCCAGATGCAGCAGTTGACCCGTTATCTTCGTGGTGTATCCGTCCTGTAGCACTATCCACGGCATTGTGATCTCCAAATACGATCCTGGCCCCACGTTAACGTGAACAGCATTGGTTTCCCTGTTTTTGCTGAAAAGTATGTCGATCGTCGCCTCGTTCAGCGTCGACAACCTGATATCGAACGATTGAACTTGTCTCTTGTCCCCGGGAATAGGTGATTTCGTGACTTTCAGCGACTGATAGTCGTTGGGAAAGAAGAACTTAAACAAATGCTCGCGTTGCCTGTCAGCCCAAGGGCCGTAACTAAAATCTGTGCCCTTGCCGCATTTGATATCGATGCCCCATATGGGGGGCATCGCCTCGACCATGTCTCCGTTCACCAGTTGTATCATCTCGGGATGTTCCGGTACAACACCGGACTCGTCCATGTAATAATACACTTCCATATTGTTCGAACTTAAAACAACGAAGCCCTCCCCCATGTATCTAGGCGGATCGTCCACCATACCGGTGTATTTCGGGCTAGGCGCCAAGATAACTTTGAAATTCTCCGCCTTGCATTTGGTGAAGTGCATGAAGTGGTCGTGCCTGGACGCAGCTGGCTTCGTGGAATACACAAAATGCGCCTCCTCCACGGTAATCGATAACGTAGTTGGTACCAGTCGATTACCGAATACCAGCCTTCCCTGGAAACATTGTGGCAACGTTTTGCAGACTTTTTCACAAGGAGATGTAAGACAGGATATGAATAAACATTATGTTGTAACTAACTGTGCAAATGTCCAACTTGATAACCGGTATCAGGTCTCTCCAGGTACGCGCGATTACGTGAGCCTCTTTCTTCCTGATGTTGTCCACATGACGCGACACGTCTATCGCGTTGATTTGCGAGTGGCGAGTTTCGTTGGCCGCGTTGCTCATAGTCTCGCCATCTCGGTCGTCAATGTTCACATTGTGACTTGCCTCGTCCGAAAACATTTGCGGCGTAAGACCAAACATTTTCTCCAATTGTGCATAAAGTTGACAGCGATTATAAACGTGCAATTCGAAGCCGTTTAACATAACCGACAGTCGGGTGTCGGAATGCGAAAGATCTACGATTAATACAGAAAGTTTTGATATATTCAAATCATATTTGCTTTCTCAAATTTATGACTGTAGCATCAAGCGATGAAAAGATTGTTTACCTTCAGACACATCTTTAGGGACATAGCTCCTCCACCATCTAAATATAAGCCAACCATCTTGAATTCTTAAGCTATAATCTGTTGTAATATAAACTATATCTCTAAACATTATCTTCCCACTTAGAGCATTCAGTGTGAAAGATCCTGCAAGAGTAAAAGAATAAGTAATCTAAGATGATGCGCAACAAGACATTACCAATAATCATATAAACTATCTTACCAACTTTAACATATCCATCTCTAATAACAAATCGATTTAACAATTTTGTCAATACATAACCAGTCACTCTGCTGTTATAATAGGCAATATAAATAATCCAAGATATGGCAGATACTAATGAACATAGCAACCATATAAAGTTGCTGTCCATCTTAAGATCATCCAAGATGACATGATCGGTATAATTCCAGAAGGCTGGCTCAATAGCAAGGAAAGATGAGACTGTAACATTGTTCATTTCATACTCCATGATGATGCTGTTTTCTTCTTTTCTTTCCTTCCACCAAATTAAGAATTATTATTCATGGTTTTATGTACTGAAACAATAAAAAAAGGATCTCTGTTTACATTTATTAACATCCTATATATTTCTTGCTAATCAATTTATCACACATAATATTCTTCAATGTCTCACAAAACTTACAAAAAGTTGTTGAAAATTTATTATAATTTGATTATTGTTTGATATAAATTCTATTTATACTTGAAATACCTAAAACTTGCATTAACAAGTTTCTTAATATAATCTATACATGTATGCAGTTGTAGAGGCACTACTTGTGCGCGATATAATTCTTATTCTACAAAGATATCATATCAAATATTTTTTCACGAGTACGATAATTATATTGGTTGATGCGTCAACAAAAATTTTGTTAAAACATCAGATATCAAAACGAACTCAATATGTGTTTGACAGATAAAACTTTACAAAACTTTTCGCATAACAATGGATTTATTCGCATATAGAAAAAAATACAATTTCGATCTTTCACTCTAAAAATAATTCACTACAACATCAACGATCCCCTCTGACAGCAAAAACCGATTACAGTGCTTAGGGCAAACGACATCCCATCTCGATGATTTACCTTTATTGGGAGGACTTGGATGTAAAGCACACTGAAATTCTGCCGTGCTATTCATGTTTTTCTGTCTATCATTATAACAGTTTAACGAGATGCCGAGAACTGTCATCAATGGACAGTGACACGCACAACCACTCCATACTTGACTGATATACTGTACAGACAAGTGCAATGCAATAGTTCGGTTCCGTTTTACGCGGGTGCAGAACGGCATAGCCAACTTCAAAACACCACTAACAGCATTGCATATAGATCAAAATTATAACAACACAACGTTGGTTATTATGAAACGTATGTATTTAGTACCTAGATTAAAACCAGAGAAGAAGCTGAGAGCGGCCAACACGGCGTTCTCGGCGACACCGGCTTTCCTCACTGGGAAAGGGCGCCATCTACATTCATTTTGAGAACGAAACTACGATGCTACATCCACTTTCAGGTCTCGGCGGTAAAACCTGCATGTAACGACAGTCTGTGCTACATCCTCTTTCAGGCGGTTTATGTTCGTGCTACAACCATAATAACGTACTTGACAAGCACGGTCTCGCACATTGTTACGCGTTTGTAACATGAATTAACATGTTAACATGTACAAAAAAAATAAGAATTGACATTGTGTATAATTAATTTCAACAAGATCATACAAAGGGTCCGGTAATTATCTGTAAACCCGATGCGTAAAGGTAGATTGGATTGAGACAAACATAAAAGTCCTATATCATTTTGCGAGATTCACAATAATTACCGAAATATAATGAAAGATAATGATAGCAATCTGAGGAGCCCGCCGACATAGGTGGTTGGAGAAACATTGCAGCAGCTCAGGGCAACGATCATGAATCTTTTCCCTAGCGTGAACAAATAGAAACAAAAAAAATTTGTCAATTATTGAAACATTTAACATTTTATATGAATATGTCAAATCCAAACATTTTACACAACAGAGTTGCTCAAAATGGCAATAATTCAAGAACGATGACAATACCGATTGCTTTAATTAAACGATGAAGATAACGCACATGTTTACCCAGATAGCACACGGAATGTACAGATCTCGGAATGCCGACTGGGATCCATGTCGTCTTTCAAGCAGATATCAATATCGAGAAATTAAAGCGAAAAGTTCAAGACCGACCGATGCGAAAATAACGTGCCACCGGTTATTAGATGCAAAATTATTTGCTGCAAGATGTTAATCTTGGTCCGAAATAAGATTGATCCGTGCAAACCGCATCGGGCTGAGATCACGCGTTTCTAAGATATAAGACTCGGAAGATGGTAAAGTGACAGGCACGAAGATGAAATGTTAAATATGGAAATATGCATAATAAGGTTTTAATCTAGACACAAAATAAGAAAGATCCTCGGAAATTATAACAAGGTGCGCCTATTCGTTATCGAGAAATTAAAGCGAAAAGTGCAAGGCCGACCGGAGCCAAAATAACGTGTCACCGGGTATAAGCTACAAAATTATTTGCTGAAAGACATTAATCTAGGTTCCAAATAAGATCGATTCGTGCAAACCGCATCGAGCTGAGAACACGGGTTTATCAGATATAAGACACGAAAGATGGAAAAGTGACAGGCATGAAAATGAAATATAAAAAAGGGAAATATGCATAATAAGGTTTCAATCTAGATCCAAAATAAGAAAGATCTTCGCAAATTATAACAAGGTGCGTCTATTAGTTAACGAGAAATTAAAGCGGAAAGTACAAGGCCGACCGAAGCGAAAATAATGTGTCACCGGGTATAAGCTACAAAATTATTTGCTGTAAGACATTAATCTAGGTTCGAAATAAGATTAATCCGTGCAAACCGTATCGAGCTGAGATCACGCGTTTCTAAGATATAAGACACGAAACATGGAAAAATGACAGGCATGAAATTGAAATATTAAATATGGAAATATCCATAATAAGGTTTTAATCTAGATCCTAAATAAGAATGATCTTCGCAAATTATAACAAGGTGGCCCTATTCGTTATCGAGAAATTAAAGGGAAAAGTTCTACACCGACCGCTGCCAAAATAACGTGTCACCGGGTATAAACTACAAAATTATTTCCTGTAAGACATTAATCTAGGTTAGAAATAAAACCGATCCGTGCAAACCGCATCGAACTGAAATCACGCGTTTCTAAGATATAAGCCACCAACGATGGAAAAACGACGGGCATGAAAATGAAATATTAAATATGGAAATATGCATAATAAGGTTTTAATCTAGACCCAAAATAAGAAAGATCTCCGCAAATTATAACAAGGTGCGCCTATTCGTTAACGAGAAATTAAAGAGGAAAGTTCAAGGCCGACCGGACCGAAAATAACGTGTCACCGGATATAAGCTACAAAATTATTTGCTGTAAGACACTAATCTAGGTTCGAAATAAAATCGATCCGTGCAAACCGTATCGAGCTGAGATCACGCGTTTCTAAGATATAATACACGAAAGATGGAAAAGTGACAGGCATGAAAATGAAATATAAAAAATGGAAATATGCATAATAAGGTTTTAATCTAGACCCAAAATAAGAAAGATCTTCGCAAATTATAACAAGGTGCGCCTATTCGTTAACGAGAAATTAAAGCGGAAAGTTCAAGGCCGACCGGAGCGAAAATAACGTGTCACCGGATATAAACTACAAAATTATTTGCTGTAAGACACTAATCTAGGTTCGAAATAACATCGATCCGTGCAAACCGCATCGAGCTGAGATCACGCGTTTATAAGATATAAGACACGAAAGATGGAAAAGTGACAGGCATGAAAATGAAATATTAAATATGGAAATATGCATAATAAGGTTTTAATCTAGACCCAAAATAAGAAAGATCTTCGCAAATTATAACAAGGTGCGCCTATTCGTTAACGAGAAATTAAAGCGGAAAGTTCAAGGCCGACCGGAGCGAAAATAACGTGTCACCGGGTATAAGCTACAAAATTATTTGCTGTAAGACACTAATATAGGTTCGAAATAAGATCGATCCGTGCAAACCGCATCGAGCTGAGATCACGCGTTTATAAGATATAAGACACGAAAGATGGAAAAGTGACAGGCATGAAAATGAAATATAAAAAATGGAAATATGCATAATAAGGTTTTAATCTAGACCCAAAATAAGAAAGATCTCCGCAAATTATAACAAGGTGCGCCTATTCGTTAACGAGAAATTAAAGAGGAAAGTTCAAGGCCGACCGGACCGAAAATAACGTGTCACCGGATATAAGCTACAAAATTATTTGCTGTAAGACACTAATCTAGGTTCGAAATAAAATCGATCTGTGCAAACCGTATCGAGCTGAGATCACGCGTTTCTAAGATATAATACACGAAAGATGGAAAAGTGACAGGCATGAAAATGAAATATAAAAAATGGAAATATGCATAATAAGGTTTTAATCTAGACCCAAAATAAGAAAGATCTTCGCAAATTATAACAAGGTGCGCCTATTCGTTAACGAGAAATTAAAGCGGAAAGTTCAAGGCCGACTGGACCGAAAATAACGTGTCACCGGATATAAGCTACAAAATTATTTGCTGTAAGACACTAATCTAGGTTCGAAATAACATCGATCCGTGCAAACAGCATCGAGCTGAGATCACGCGTTTATAAGATATAAGACACGAAAGATGGAAAAGTGACAGGCATGAAAATGAAATAATAAATATGGAAATATGGGTAATAAGGTTTTAATCTAGACCCAAAATAAGAAAGATCTTCGCAAATTATAACAAGGTGCGCAAATTCGTTAACGAGAAATTAAAGCGGAAAGTTCAAGGCCGACCGGAGCCAAAATAACGTGTCACCGGGTATAAGCTACAAAATTATTTGCTGAAAGACATTAATCTAGGTTCCAAATAAGATCGATTCGTGCAAACCGCATCGAGCTGAGAACACGGGTTTATCAGATATAAGACACGAAAGATGGAAAAGTGACAGGCATGAAAATGAAATATAAAAAATGGAAATATGCATAATAAGGTTTCAATCTAGATCCAAAATAAGAAAGATCTTCGCAAATTATAACAAGGTGCGCCTATTCGTTAACGAGAAATTAAAGCGGAAAGTTCAAGGCCGACTGAACCGAAAATAACGTGTCACCGGTTATAAGCTACAAAATTATTTGCTGTAAGACACTAATCTAGGTTCGAAATAACATCGATCCATGCAAACCGCATCGAGCTGAGATCACGCGTTTATAAGATATAAGACACGAAAGATGGAAAAGTGACAGTCATGAAAATGAAATATTAAATATGGAAATATGCATAATAAGGTTTTGATCTAGACCCAAAATAAGAAAGATCTTCGCAAATTATAACAAGATGCGCCTATTCGATAACGAGAAATTAAAGAGGAAAGTTCAAGGCCGACCGGAGCGAAAATAACGTGTCACCGGTTATAAGCTACAAAATTATGTGCTGTAAGACACTAATATAGGTTCGAAATAAGATCGATCCGTGCAAACCGCATCGAGCTGAGATCACGCGTTTATAAGATATAAGACACGAAAGATGGAAAAGTGACAGGCATGAAAATGAAATATAAAAAATGGAAATATGCATAATAAGGTTTTAATCTAGACCCAAAATAAGAAAGATCTTCGCAAATTATAACAAGGTGCGCCTATTCGTTAACGAGAAATTAAAGCGGAAAGTTCAAGGCCGACCGGACCGAAAATAACGTGTCACCGGATATAAGCTACAAAATTATTTGCTGTAAGACACTAATCTAGGTTCGAAATAACATCGATCCGTGCAAACCACATCGAGCTGAGAACACGCGTTTATAAGATATAAGACACGAAAGATGGAAAAGTGACAGGCATGAAAATGAAATATTAAATATGGAAATATGCATAATAAGGTTTTAATCTAGACCCAAAATAACAAAGGTCCTCGCAAATTATAACAAGGTGCGCCTATTCGTTAACGAGAAATAAAAGCGGAAAGTTCAAGGCCGACCGGAGCGAAAATAACGTGTCACCGGGTATAAGCTACAAAATTATTTGCTGTAAGACACTAATCTAGGTCCGAAATAAGATCGATCCGTGCAAACCGCATCGAGCTGAGATCACGCGTTTCTAAGATATAAGACACGAAAGATGGAAAAGTGACAGCATGAAAATGAAATATTAAATATGGAAATATATAAATTAAGGTTATAATCTAGACCCAAA